CAAGGAGAAAAGGAATCAAGATTCTATTTTCTTTCCTTTTGAGAGAAGGCCTTTTGAATTAGAAAGATCTAATTCGACTTAATTAGACCTTTCTGTCTGACTGAGATATCCTTGAAAGAGGTTGCTGGTAGAAAAAAACATTAAAATTCCTCCAAGAAAAAAGAGAGAAAGTCTGGCTCAGTGATTTAGGCTCAACACCAGGGCCTCGAGGTTTTGTGGAAGACAGCGTGTTCTGGATACAGTGTGTAGCTGTGGCTGGAAACCCCACTACACCTGGGCACCTGGGCAAAGCTGTCATGTTCCGGGAACAGTGAGCCGATTGTGTGAGCATAGTTCCAGTAAGCTGTCAGCTTGGGAGAGTCCGTGTCCTCAGTGACACCCTCCTGCCTACACAGGGCTCTGCAGCAGAAAGGACATCCTTGGGTCAGGACAAAGACTCATTCACTGGAGCCTGTCGGAACTAGCCTTCAGCAGTGGCACCATGCAGAAGTGATCAAAATCAGAACTTTCAATGAACTAATCAGTTCTACCCACATGATACTTTGAAACAAGACTGCTTCTCTTGCAATCAGTAAGTTCCCAGGGTTCCTGGACAATTCGGGGAATGGGAAGACTCTAAGAGGTACTTTATGAAGGCATAAATAATTAGGAAAATAAAGACAGGTGCCCAGAATTTGAATCCAAAACTCCTGGAGGTTATACAGGTTATATTTAATATGCCAGTTCGTTGTGAATTTCTAAGAGCTGAAGTGTTTGCCATATTGATTTAGGCACTGAACCTTCCTTTTTTAGCCAAGCATTTTGAGGGACTAGATTCCAAAAAACACTTGTTGGAAAATGCTTTTTGCATGGCAGATTTAGATACTAAGGCATGACGAAGGAGCAGGGGTCCTTTCCTGGTGCCCACCATAGGATTGCCACACTGCCTCAGAACGGTCATCTCTAATTCTGTGATGCTCATCACGATGTTCTAGGACTAAGCCAAGGAGGGCAGAGGGAGTGCACAGGAGCCGGTGCTGAAGTGAGATCACAGCTCTCTCCTGGGCTTCATTTCCCTTTTGTCTTTGAATAATGAGCACCACCTACAATCACTTCTTGGCTCCATAAGTAGGAATTTTTGTCTATTTTATTCTGTGATGTATCCTCAGTGCTTATAATGTGCCTGGTACAGTGCTGGTTCTCAACTATTTGTTTAATGAATGAACTTCTGCCCTTTATTGTCTTGGCAAAGTTACGAAAACCTAACATTAATTTTATTTGTTTTTTCTTTCTTTTTTTTTAATACTCACCTATGTTCATTGATTTTAGAGGGAAAGGAAAGGTGAAAGAGAAACATGCATCAGTTGACCCCATATGGGCCCCAAATGGGGATCGAACCTGCAATTTAGGCATGTGCCCTCATCAGGAATCAAACATGCAACCGTCTGGTGCACAGGAGGACAGTTCAACCAACTGAGACACCTGGCCAGGGCAGCATTGTCGTTTCTTTTGCCTAGTTTGTCCCTTGCAGCTTCAGAAAAGAGCCATCTGAAGATACAGAAAATATGAGAACAGTAAAGACATCTCACTTGTAAATCAAATGGAAGCCCACATTTGCCCAAGTCAGACCAGCCTGGGACGGAGGACAGGGATGCGGTGAAGCCAGTTCAAACCCCACCGGCTGAATCACTCCCCCCAGTTCCACATTGCCCACTCTCAGCGTGACGTTTAACAACTTGTACAGCAAGTTCAGTTTTATAAATAAATGTAACCAATATATAAATAATCAGTATATCGATAAAAACTTAAAATACTTTCTATTCTCTAAACTATATGCCATGAAACTGCTTACTATATGATACAAGGTAAAATGGTTGTTAAATCACTCTAATTTCTAAATCATTATTTAATTTTAAAAGTTACTGGTGTGATCTTATATTTGATAAGCTCTCATAAAACTAAAAGCAGCTTGTCTCTAAACTACAGTTTTTTTAAATTTTATTTATTTATCTTTAGAGAGGAAGGGAAGGCGAGAGGGAGAGAAATATCAATGTATGGTTGCCTCTCCTATGTCCCCAACAGGGAACTGTCCTGCAACCCAGGCATTTGCCCCAACTGGGAATCGAACTGCGATCCTTTGGTTCACAGGCCCATGCTCAATCCAGTGAGCTACGCCAGCCAGGGCTTCTAAGCTACAGTTTTGAGGGGGAAACTGCACCAGACCCTTCCAAAGACTTCCCCATCGAATCAGTGACCATTAGATCTGGAGCCAGGCACAGGCTGCAGTGGGAGGATGAGCAGGTGGATTGTCCCTCCCATTCTGGATGCTAGTGTTTCTCACACAGCCGGTACCCAGACGGCCTTTGCTTCCACACTCACCTTCAACACTGCCACCAGCCAGGCCTATCCCATCACTCCTGCCAGTCCTGGACCCCTCCTGAGCATCAGGAAGGGACCGTGTGCCCTTTGACCACCACCTTGGCCTGCTCAGCTTATGCCCCCAGGTCCAGATGCACCAGTCGCAAATCCCACTACCACCTACACAGTGGCTACTGGATATTGTCATTCCATGGCATGCACTCTAACAGGACATGCCAACCATCAGGACAGTATTTCTATATTTTAACCTGTAGTAGCACCATGCCAGTATATATTAGCAGAATATCAGCCATGGCCCAGTCCTTTCTGAGTAGTCCGGAGAGTCTCAAAGTCTCCTCCCACGTATGTTAGAACAAAGCATGAATGCTCTGCTATCTCACGATATCTACCATTTCTTCTGTCTCTCAGCTCCACGAAATGGCTCCCATATTTAGAAGTTGATTGCTGGAAGCAGCAACTGATTTTGTTTCGTCTCTTAAAGTCATTCAAGCAGTGTTACCCCTGCTGATGCTGTCTCTGAGCTGAAGTGGGATAAAGTGCCCCTCTGTCGGCCTAAGTGGCTGGCAGTTGCCAAGCTAAGAACTGAGCCTTTTTCTCTTTGTAACTGAGAACTTACCACAAAACCTGAGTCTCTGAATAACAATATCAGAAAACAAGCTGAGCGTCACACCACCCGCAGTTTACTGTGGCTTTCACAGTCCATAACCTTCTGGATGAAGCCCGAGCACATTTTTCCAGGTTTTTGACATGTAATTGACACTGTTTTTGACATGTAATTGACATATATATGGCACTGTATAAGTTTAAGGTATACAGCATGATTGCTTGACTTACATATATTGTAAAATAACTGGTGAAATAAATTTATCTAACGTAATTATCATCTCACGTGGACATAAGAAAAAAGAGTTTTTCTTCTTGTGATGAGAACTCTTAAGATCTACTCTTTTAAACAACTTTCAAACAGACCACACAATGGTATTCACTATAGTTACGTTGTACACTACCTCCCCAGTACTTATTCATCTTATTTATTTGTACCTTTTGACTACATTTATCCAATTCCTCCACCCCTACCTCCACCCGCCACCACCTCTGGTAACCACAAATAAGATTTCTTTTCCTATGAATTTATTTATTTTTAAGATTCTGCACATAAATGAGATCATACAGTAGTTGTCTTGTCTGATTATTTTACCTAGCACAAGACCATGTTGTCACAGATGGCAAGGTTTCCTTCATTGTCATGGATGAATTGTATTAATATGCCACTTCTTCATCCCGTCCTGCACTGGCGACACTTAGGTCATTTTCATGTGGCTCTTGTAACTTAATGCTGCTTGAAAGCTCCTCAACGTGGTGTTTTCGTTTCCTGCAGATACCTGCTCAGAAGTGGAGTTGCTTAATCATATTGCCCATTTTTAATGGGATTATTTGGGGATTTTCTGCTACTGATTTGTGTGATTTTTTAAATAGATTTTAGATATTAACCCCTTATCATATATATGATTTGCAAATATTTTTTGCCTTCTGTTGTCTTTTCATTTTGTTGATCATTTCTTTTGCTGTGCAGTCTATACATTTTGACACTCTGCCCTGGGTAATTTTTCCCCCAATAGCTTTGAAATTTGAGAAGAGGTTTCTGATCCCCAGTGGCTTAAGGGAAATCGTTCTCAACATGAGGGGCATCAGAAGCAGCCAGTTAGGTGGGACCAAGGCATGAAGAGTAAAAACTCTGTAAGAAAATTGGATCTGCAGCAAGGGTTGGGAACCATTAGCTTAGGGGCCTATTTTGGGTCCAAGGCAAGTACTCAATTTCCCCTGCATTAATCAGGCCCACTGCTGGATGCACTGACTTGCCTCAATGAGCTTTCTTAGGAAATCCATATACAATTTGGTTGTTACTCTGGGACACTTTCTGTTCTGAACCATTCCTGTGAACAGTGATGCACAATTTCCTTTAGGTTAATTCTGCAAGTTGCATTTTTAAAAAAAAACGGTCTGACATCACAAGGAAACCACTTTTTTTGCTCCATTTCCTGGAGCCTACAGCTGGCGAAATGCCTGGGACAAGATGTATTCAATTCAAGTCCAAGCAGAGCTGCGTTAGGAGAAACAGATGGCCCACCTCGGGTGAAAAAGTGCTTTCTTGCCGGGAGAGGTAGGGTGGTTTATTCACCTCCCTCCAGGAAGGTGGGAGGGTGTGGAGGCAAAATAAATAAAACACATTACAAATGCTTTCCACAGATGAACGGAATAATTGGTGCTGAGCAGGACTGCGGGGGACATGTTTTTGCCTCTAGGCAGCTTGTGGGAAGTTATCACGTGTATATTAAAATGCCTCCAGAACTTGAAAATCATTTCATCAGAGGAAGTAATAAGAACCGACACATAATTAAAGAGATCAGCCATCAGTAACCATCTCTGAGAGTTCGTAATGAGGGACTGAGATGACTGGGATAGTGAGGGTGCACCAGGTATAGGTTCGGGAAAATGACTGAATATAAAACAAAGCAGTGAGAATCATATTGTGTCTCATCTAAAGAAAACTGGGATTAACATGTTTGGAGGTGTAGTAGACAAGTGATCTGAATTTGTTTAGGAAAAGGGAGACAAGACACAGAGAATTTGCTGCTGATTACCTAACTCTTTCCACAGGACAGAATACTTTTCCTGGAGGTCCCCAACGTTCAGGTCACTTGGAAAATGCATTCCACTCAGAAGGCTTTCCAATACCTGTATAAAAAACCCTTAGGTTTGTCCAGGTCTTTTGTTCCAAATATTTCTTCAACAAGTAGCATCCTGATTATGAACTTGGTCTGTCAGCTACCCTGATAATGGGCAAGATTGAGGCCACTGGAAAGTTATTACATACCTTTTACAAATAAATACACTTGTATTCTGTTTGACATGTCAGTCTGTTGAGAATTGGGTTAGTGTAGGTGAGCCTATAAACTAATTGCCCAGCAGTTACTGACAAACCCCATTATACCTGCAGAGCCGAGTGCCAGACCCCAGGACTCGGTGACCGCTCCTTTGTACTGCCATTCTGTGAGGCTCCACCCAAGCCATCCTGGGTCTACTTCCCTGACATCTGTGCCTCTCTTTAAATTCAACACAAACCATCCCCCCAAATCATCTCCCTGCTTGCTTTTGAAAAATCAGCCCAGGGTAATTCTAAATTATCTTCTCTGTAATGCACTCCAGTGTCTCATAGCCCTGACCCTTAGGAAACATTTTGCATTATCTGTAATCACACTGTGACCATACAGTGTCACCAAGTAACAAAGAGCTCCTTGTGGTCCTTGCTGTCCTCTTTTTCTGGAGAGGGTGGGCCACGGAGAGGCCACAGATGGTGTACCAAGGGTCCTTCAGCATGTGGTGGAAAAGGGATGGTTATACCATCAAACACAGTTTGCACCCTTTGATCAAGTAGTATGAAAGGGGGAGTGATCTGAGTTCAGTGGAGTGTTCTCATCCACCAGAACAGAACTGCAGTGGTGCTTCTTTCTGTCGGCTGCACTCACAGTAGCTATAGGAGGTCATGGAGCTTTGCCCATTTCCCCCCATCAGAGAGAATGTGTGCTTCTGTGACCCACTCTGGTGTTCTCATCCCTGAATGTTATAAAGCTGGAGCACCATCCGTTACTCTTGCTTTCTTGTTTCCTTCCTAGGGAGTGAATGGTTGACACCCCTTGGTGGATACTGCATACCTGTTTGCTGTAGGACATTTGTCCATTGGCCTTTTGGTGACTCATAGTTTTTGCCTCCCTCCAGACTGAGATGGAAGCAGCAGTGACCCAACCGTGGAAATTATCGGCTAGTCTCTCATCCCAGAAACTGCTTTATATTCCTTGAAAAGAGCAAACTATCTTCCCTTTAAATGAAAAATAGAAAAATTACTGCATAAAAATTTCTCCCAATTTGGAAAGTTGGCCAAAGGACTACTAATGATGACTATTATAAAAATTCTCTCAAAATAGTCATTCCGTAAATAAGAAATACATCCCCTGCAACTGAGATTTATAAAAGCTCTGAGAGATGGTGAAGTGGGGTTTGCAATTCAGTATGTTTATTGCTCTCAGGGGCTGTGGCTAGTGTCTTATGAAGCAAGGTTTCAGTTGGGTAGAGATTGGGTAATGAGGACAGAGATGCATTGTGTAACTCCTTCTTCCCCTTTATTTAGTGTGGACCAGTGAGTGTCATGTCTCAAGCTTAATAAATTTAGTTTGAGTATCTCACATCATAAAAGCTCAGGATTTCTTGCCAAAAGTGGCCATAGTTAACCAAGGCCATTAAATCTGTCACTGCGCTGATGTTGAGTTTGTCTGACAGAATCACGTAAGGTCATCCTAATAGACTTTTCTTTGATGGGAAAGAGAGTTGACATTTACTGATTACTTACCCTACAGCGACACTACCTTTATTTCTCATGACAAATCTGTGAGATTGATGTTATTTCCCCAAGTTTATGAATGGGATTGAGACTCACAGACATCCAGTGACTTGCTCAAGGCGATAGAGTCTTTTAGAAGCCAACACAAGCCTGCTTGTCTTCTGGTCAGGTTTACATTAAAAGTGAGGTGATAACCCTGTAGAGCTGGACTTTAGGACTTAAACCTCAGCCTATTACACCCTAAAGCCACTGCTCCAAGTCTGCTGTACCATGTAACGACATCACCACACTAACTTACAAGAGACTAGAGAGGTGTCACAAGAGTTTTTCTTTATTTTTTACCTTTTTTAGATTTGCTGCTGTGTATTTTGTTCAATTTTTTTAAGTTGTAGTAAAAACATACCATACAATTACTACCTTAACCATGTTTAAGGGTACAGTTCAGTGGTTTTAAATCCATTTATAGTGTTGTATAACCATCATCCCCGATCACCTCCATAACTTTTTTCATCTTGAAAAACTGAAACCCTATTCTTATTAAACAATAACGGCTTATTCCTCCCCCACTCCCAGTCCCTGGCAACCACATTTTACTTTCTGTCTCTATAAATTTGACTACTCTAGGCACCTCATACAAATGGAGTTATGCAATGTTTGTGTTTTTGTGACTACGTTATTTTACCATAAAGTCCTCAAGGACCATGCATGTTGTAGTAGATTGTCAACTTTCCTCATTTTTAAGGTCAAATAATATTACATGTATCTATGTATTACATTTTGCTTATCCATTCATTCATCAGTGGACTGCTTCCACATTTTAATCTATTGTGAATAATGCTGCTATGAACACAAGTACACAAATATCTCTTTGAGACCCTGCTTTCAATTAGATCATACAGTAATTCAATTTTTAATTTTTTGAGCGATCTCCATTACCGTTTTTTATAGTATTTGTACCCACCAACAGTACACAGGGGTACCAATTTCTCTACATCTTTGCCAACTCTTGTTTTAATTTTTTGATAGCAGCCATCTGAATAGGTATGAGATCGTATCTTACTGCAGGTTTAATTTGCATTTTCCTAATGATTAGTGATGATGAGCATCTTTTCATGTACTTATTGATCATTTGTATATCTTCTTTGGAGAAATGTCTATTCAAGTTGTTTGCCCACTTTTGATTGGGCTGTTTGTTTTTTGTCATTGAGTTTTAGGAGTTTAGTATATATTATGGATATTATCCAGATACTAAGTAGATATATGATTTGCAAATTATATTTTCTCCCATTCTGTGGGTTGTCTTTTCACTTTGATGGTATTATTTGATGCACAAAATTTAAAAATTGTTATGATGTCTAATGTGGTATCACAGCCAAAGGATTATTTGACAAATCCAGTGTTGTGAAGCTTTTGACTTATATTTTCTTCAAAGAGTTTTGTTGTTTTAGGTGTTACATTTAGGCTTTTGCTTTATTTTGAGTTTACATATATATATGTGTATGTATGTATGTGTATATATATATATATATATGGTATTAAATAAAGATCCAACTTTATTTTTTTCATTTTGATATTCAGTTTTCTCAAGACCCCTTGTTGAAAAGAGTTCTTTCCCCCACTGAAAGTTCTTGGCATCCTTGTTAAAAAAATCAGTTGACTATGTATGCAAGAGTTTATTTTGGGGCTCTCTATTCTATTTCATTAGTATATAGTTTGTTTTTAAGCCAGTACCACACTATTTCAATTATTAGTTTTGAAATCAGGAAGTGTGAGTCTTCACTTTGTTGTCCTTTTCTTTTTTCAAGATTGTTTTGGGTATTCAAGATCCCTTGAAATTCTGTATAAATTTTGGAATTTTTGAAAAAAGTTTCTGCAAAAAATATGTCATTGAGATTTTGATATGGATTAAATTTAATCTGTAGGTTGCTTCAGGTAGTATTTGCATTTTGACAATGTTAGGTCTTTCAGTCCATGAACATTAAATGCGCTCTGATTAGTATGTCTTCTTTAATTCCTTTGGTCAATGTTTTATAGTTTTTACTATACAAGTCTTTCACCTTCCTGGTTAAGTTTTTTCTTGAGTACCTTATTTCTTTCATGCTATTATAATTGGAATTGTTTTTGTGATTTTTCTTTTCCAACTGCAACTAATCTTTGCATGTTGTTTTTGTATCTTGCTACTTTGCTGAACTCATTTATTAGTTCTAACAGTTTTTTTCTGTGTGAAATCTATAGGGTTTTCTACATATAAGATCATGTAATCTACAAGTAGAGATAATTTTACTTCTGTTTCAATTTGGATGCCTTTATTTCTTTTGCATGCCTAATTGCTGTGGCTAGAATCCTGTACTGAGTAGAGTAAAAGTGATGAACTTGGGCATCCTTGTCTAGTTTTTGATATTAGAAGAAAATCTTTCAGTCTTTCACCATTGAGTATGATGTTTGCTGTGGTTTTTAAAAAATATATACATAGTTTTATTGTGTTGAGATAGTTTCTATCTACTCTTATTTTATATAATGTTTTTACCATGAAACAATGTTCAATTTTGTCAAGAACTTCTTAATGTATCATTTGAGATAAGCTTGTGTTTTTTCTCCTTTATTTTGGTATATTACCTTAACTGATTTTTGTTTGTTGAACAATCCTTGCATTCAAGCAATCAATCTCACTTGGTCGTAGTGCATAACCATTTCAATACACTATTGAGAGTTTTTGCATCAGTGTTTGTAAGGGATATTGCTCTATAGTTCTCTTTTCCTTTAGTTTCTTTGTCTGGCTTTGGTATGAAGATAATGCTGGCCTCATCGAATAAATTAAGAAGTGTTTCCATACAATTGTTCATAATATCTTCTTACATCCTTTTTATTTATATAGAATCAATAGTAATATAATTTTTATTTCTGATTTTAGTAATTGGATTCTTCTATTTTTTGTTTACTCTGTGTAGCAAAAGATTTGTCATTTTTTAAAATCTTTTTTCAAGAGCCAATTTTGGTTTTCATTGATTTTCTCTTTTTTTATTCTATTTTGTTTATCTCTGCTCTAATCTTCATTATTTTCTTCCACCTACTAGCTTTGGCTTTAGTTTGTTTTACTTTTTCCTCATTCTTTACATTATAAATTTAGTTTTTTGGTTTGAGATCTTTTTTATTTTTCTTATAAGACTATATTTGAGTCAAACTGATGACATGTACGAGGGAGCACAATCTCACATGCTCCTCCAATTTTCTTGTTTTTCATGTGTTTACTATAGATTTCCCCATTAGCAGCCCTTTCACAACATCCCATAAATTTTGGCATGT